CAACTAGGTACAACTAAATACAACTGAAGGTAACAAGAGAACTAAAGAGACTAGAATTGACAACAATGACCAAAGACAACTAATAAGGGAGGGCTCCCCTATCCGCCACCTGGGGGACGCGCTCTTACGCCGTATAGCCCCAGCGCGAGGCGTAACATCCTGTAGGTAACATATTTTGCAAAACAAACTCGTATCCTAGAAATATTCCGTAACAGTTTTGAGTGAGCTTCGTGGGTGATAAATTGATCAGAAAATTTGTACAGAACCCTACAGCAAGGTGTTAACCTCTCATTCTGCTTTTCTTCATCGGAAACTTCAGAGCAAAAGAATAGGTAGGTCAGAGTTTTTCATATCGACTGATTCAATGTATCCTTAATTAAGCCAAAAATGGTCAGAAACGTTTAGGTTTTAAGGCCCAAACGAAAGGCGTTTGTTTCCATGTTAATTTTCACATCTTTACCGCTTGATCGAATCATAGTTAGGCAAAAACCAATTCTCAGTGCAATGCTACACTTCCATATTTCTACACCACCCAATTTTCACCATTCTCTACGCTGCCACAGTTCCATGCTTCCCTGCAAGACTTCTCCATTTGCATTTACCATACACACTTCTATATTGTAACAGTAACACTTTCCTTTTTAAATACCCTGATGCCTTTTTTCTAGTGGGTTTTCGAGTTTGCGAAAATCGTCAGTAGAATTAGCCAACAAAATAATGGGATCAAAAAAATTGGTCATAGCTTTCACGAGTAGCGTACAAAACCTAACAAAAGAGAAAAACTTTGCGGTCCAAAATTAGAAGTTTTTTTTTGTTTGTTTGTTTGTCAATAACATAAGTAATATAATGGTTTCGTTTTAATCTCGTCTAAGAAAACGAACAGACCTTTAAACATTAAACTCACGCCGGTCCATGTTTCTCGGTAGTTATTGGGTAGTTATGAGATATCTCACCATATTGTGCATTATCCTGACCACTGCGGTGAGCTTCACAATCGCCAATGAAAAGCGGAGATGTGAACGTCCTTTAGCGAGGGCCAAATCTTGTGAGTGTA